AACATAAAGGTAGCCATTTCAAACTCCTAAAACCATTAACAGTTCAGTGGCATTTCATACATTCATAATGTGCAGTCACCACCTCTATGTAGTTTCAAGACATCGTCCTCACCCCGAGATAGAAGCCTGCACCCCCCAAGCAGGTACTTCTCCCCCCACCACCCTCTAGCCTCTACCGTCCCGAGTCTGCTTTCTGTCTCCGAATTTGTCCATTCTGGATCTTTCCTATAAATAGAATCATACACCATGTGGCGTTTAGTGTCTACGTTCTTTCCCGCATTGTAATGTTTTCAGGGGCTGTCCCTGTGGCCGTGTGCACTGGTACTTCACTCCTTTTCCTTGCTGAGTAATAATCCACCATGTGGACGTGCCACCGTCTGTTTCTTCATCTGCCTGCCCGTGGCGTTTGTGCTAGTTCCACCTTTTGGCTATTGCGAATGGTGCTGCTGTGAGCATACACGCATTCAGTATTTGTGTGAGTGCCTGATTTCAGTTCCTTTGGGGTAATTCCTGGGAGTGGAATTGCTGAGTCACACTGTAATTAGTCTGTAAGATTTTAAAACAATTTTGCCTTCTGATCTCTAGGCTTGAGTGTAACTTTTTTTTTTTTGTTTAAAGGAAAGAAGTAAGAAAAGAAAGGAAGAGCATATATATCCATCCACTCTGTTGCTCTGCAGACCCCACTGCCCTCCAGGGCCATCACCTCTGCAGAGGCCAAGGTCATGGCAAGGGCGGGGGCTCTGGGTCCCACTCCCTGTAACCAGGCTGGGCACATCTCCATGGGATGCCACAGAGGGATGTGAACACATTAGAAACTGATAGGATTGTAGTTTACAGGTGGTTTTGGTGGGCAGGAGAGGCTGCATAAGTGACGTCCGTCCAGGTGGAGTTTGTTTTAAACCTCACGTTTTAACCCCTGGTGCTGTGGGCCAGCAGCCCCGGTCCTCCCCATGTCAGCTGTCCCTTCTGCCCAAGGTGGTGATGGAGCTTGCCCACTGAGGTCCTCAGCAGCCCGGGAACCACAGGGTCTTGAGATGCCTTGCTCGCTGTCCTCGAGTCCCCTCCTCCCTGCTCCAGCAGGGCCACCAGCCAGCCCCCTGTCACTGCCTGCTTCATTCCAGACTCCAGACCTCCATCATTTAAAAAAACTTTTTAATATTAAAAATTTCAAACATAAAGGAAAATTAAAAGAATAGTAAAAGACACCAGTATACTCATCCATTGTTAACATTTAGCTATTTTTGCTGATATTTGCTCTATCAGGTGGACCTGGTGCCGATAAGAATATTCTTTCTGGTGGCCTCTGTAGGGGTGGTGGCCTTGGAGGGCCCTGGAGGTCCGCAGAGCAACAGAGTGGATTCCTTCCTTTGTTCTTCTTTTCTTTTCTTTTTTTCTTTTTTTTTTTTTAAAAAAAGTTACACTCAAGCCAGATCAGAAGGGATAATTGTTTTAAAATCTTATAGATTAATTACCATGTGATTCAGCAATTCTACTCCCAGGAATTACCCCAAAGGAACTGAAATCAGGCACTCACGCAAATACTAAATACATGTGTGTTCACACTGTTTGCAGTAGCCAAAAGTTGGAACAAGCACAAATGTCCACGGCATCTATAAATGCGTTCTTTTTTCTGTGAGTCATTTGAAGGATGCAGACATCATGACTCTTCATTATAGATACCACAGTATACATCTCTTCAGAACAAGGATATTCTTCCACATGCCTGTTATGCTGCTGTTATACTCAGAAAATGAACAAGAATTCCCTAGTATCTCGTATCCAGCCCATATGAAAATTTCCTTAATTATCCCCCAAATGTGCTGTCAGTGTATTTGAGCTGGGAGCCAATCAAGGATCATGTATTGCATTTGGTTTTGTCTCTTTAATCTCCTTTAATGTAAATATGACTCACGCCCAATCCCATTTTATCCCGTGATACTGACTTTTTGAAGAAACTGGACCAGTTGTCTTGTAGACTATCTAGATATTGGTTTGTTAAATTATTTCCTTGTGGTGTCGTTTAATTTGCTCTTCTGTGGGCTGTATTTCCTGTAACCTGGAAATTAGGTTCAGAGATTTGATTAGATTCAGGTTAAATGCTTTTGGCAAGAATCTTTGATTTTTATAAACTTCATGTTGCATCCTGTCAGGCGACATACAAGGTCAAGGCACCATTAGTAGTCTGTTCAATTCGTGAGTGACCCGGGGGTGACACTGTGAACACCCACTCCCAGCGCGTCTACTGCTTATGAGTCATTAGATGGGGAGGGTTTGCAAAAACGGCGATTCTCTAAGCCCGCCACCCCTCCCACAGTGCTGGCTGCTGCCCTCTGTACAGGAGTGCTTCCCTCGTCACCCAGGAATGACGAGGGGTCATTCGAAAGTGTCAGTAGATGTCCAATCCTTTGCCTTTAATTATGAATTCTTTGGGTGGGGAGTTAGTATCATGTTCTCCTCTGATGGTGGCAAATGACTGTTTTTGAATGTCAGTGTTGGCTCGTGGATTTTTATTTATTCATGGCTTACAATCAATTACAATAATTATTCTTTTTGATGCCCGAATTATCCCAAATTTGGCCAGCGGGAGCACTTGCAAGCTGGCTCCCGGGTCTTTGCTTCCTGGCAAGGACAAGATGTCCCAGACTCCCCTGGTATTCCCCCTTCTCCAAACCTCGAGGTAGCTATTTCCCCAAAGAGATCCGATTCCTTTTAGTGCAGGATGGTGTCTGAAACAAAGATTGGGGTGTAGGTGTGCTCATTGTCGCAGGGGGTGTCAGTGTTTCTAGGCCCTTTCAGTGGATGGTATTGAGTTCATAATGACATTTTAATTAATTTTAACATTATAGCTTTGCTCTTAATGTTTTTTTTTTTTTTTTAAGAGACAGAGCCTTGCTCTGTTGCCCAGACTGGAGTGTAGTGGTGCCATCATAGCTCACTGCAGTCCCAAACTCCTGGGCTCAAGCCTCACCCTCCCTAGTAGCTGGGACTACAGGTGTGACCACACCCAGCTCCTAACTTCTTTTATTTTATATCTTTACCTCTTACACCGAAAATCTTGGTTCCCTATTAGGAACATTAATATAATTACTTACTTGCTTTACTTGACCATAAATTATAATACTTTCAAATCCAAACCCAGTATTGCTACCAGTAATACAGCCACTGAGTGAAGTTTAAACTTTCTTCGCAGCTCGTTTGCCCTTAGATTTACATATCCTGCTGAGGATGTACAGCCAGAATACTGTGTGCTAATGTTACTTGAAATGATTCTTTCCTCCGTGTGGCCAAATTAACAGTTTGTTAAAGAGTTGGATTCATTCATTTCAGTGTTGCATTTTATTATAGGGTCTGCTTATTTTTCCCTTGTGATATAACTTTATGTTTTGACTATATTAAACATTTACACTGTGCAAAAGTCAAACTGTATAACAGCATATTGCAGAGAATCTTGCTTTCCCGTCCCCCCCACCACACGCCAATTCACCCACCCCTTGTGGGAAACCAGTTTTTATTAGCTTCTGGTATATCCTTCCAGTGTTTCCTTTTGCAGGAATTAAAACATCTTGTTGTTCCTCCCCTGGGAATGCCTGTCCTTGTGATTTTCAGAGTGTTCATGACAGCCCCATCTTTTAGATTCCAACCTCAGTCCTACTTCCGCTATGGAGACTTTGCTGATCCTTGGACCATCACCACTTCTTTCTGCCTGTCTTGATACTAGAACATTCCTTGTCTTCATTTCCTATGGCTTTGGCACTTATGAGGGGTCTTAAATACATGCTGTTGTGTATTATTGCTACTTGAATTTGCTCATGTCTGGTTTCTCAATGAGGTTGCACATCCCTTAAGGGTAGGACTATGACTAGATTCCTTTTATATTTAGGGCTGCGAATATAGTAATATATAATAGATTCAGTCAATTCTTATTATTGGCAATAGCTATGTTCTATAACAGGGGTCCTCAAACTACAGCCTGCGGGCCACAGGCAGCCTACCGAGGACATTTATCCGGCCCTCTGGGTGTTTTTGCCGCCGCTGCCTGTCCTGCTTAGCAGCCCGGCTAGTCCCAGGCCCTCAGTGCGCATGTGTGGAATGTGCACCGCACTCTCCAACGGTCTGAGGGACAGTGAACTGGCCCCCTGTTTAAAAAGTTTGAGGACCCCTGTTCTATAAGGTCACTGTGAACACTGAATTAGTGAATACTGAATTTGTTCCTAGAGGAAATATAGGGTTAGGTTCCTGCGAGGCTGTGGTCACAGAATTTTCATCCACTGATCGATACATAACTGTGGTGTGTGCCTCTGTTTAACATATATTTTTGATTCATTAACATTGAACTCACAGCCAACGGCAGCATAACTCATGCCTGAAGGGTGCTTGTCTATCATTTGTGTTTCCTCTATAAGGCACATCACAGCCTGCTTGTGCTTAGAAACATGACACAGCACTTCAGCACTAGGCGTGGGGGCCATGAAACAGTGAACTCACCAAGAAGAAGCACAAGAATGTGAAAACTTTGGGAGTGAATAGACTGGGAGGACACTTGTTTATTGCATGCGAGCTGAAACAAGAAGGCAGAAGGTCACGTTGTTTGACCTCAGCTGGGAATGTGCACATCGGGGTGACTCACTTTTTTCTAGGTCTGCTGATATCTGCGAATGACCCTAAAGAGCCTCAAGTATTGATTTGGGCATTAAAAAATAGTGAGTAGGCAAATGTGAAATATGGAATCTGCAAATAAAGAGGGTTGTCCGAATATGTTGGATTAAATCCATTAGAATGAGCTGTGTGGCCTTGGACTAGTTGCATTACCTCTCTGGGTTTCACTTTCTTTCCTTGCTTTTGCCCAGCACCAGAATCCCAGGAACGGAGTGGGCACCGCCTTTTCTCTTGCTTTGGCATCCTGTGGTTGGAGAGGCCCTGACCGCTTCCCCCACCCCCGCTTTTTAAATTTTCTGCCCTCGTGAACCCGCTCGAACTGACCCCCTCTCCTTTCCACACAGGTTCGTGGACTTCCACGCAGCTGCCTCCACCTGCTCACCCTCACGGGCCTCCTTGCTCACGGGCCGGCTGGGCCTTCGCAATGGAGTCACGCACAACTTTGCAGTCGGCTCTGTGGGGGGCCTTCCGCTCAACGAGACCACCCTGGCCGAGGTGCTGCGGCAGGCCGGCTACGTCACTGGGATGATAGGTAACTCCGAGATGAGGTCTTGCAAGTGTGCCCAAGGCCTGGTCTCAAACTCCGGCCGCACTTCCTCCCACCTTTTTTGCCTTGCAAAGGTTTGGGATTACGGTGTGAGCCACCGTCCTGCCTCCCTTCAACCTTGACCGACACAGTTTCCTGGACCTCCCAGTGGAGGCAGCATGGTTTAATGCACGAATTAAGAGAATTGGAAATCTGAGACAAGCCCAAGTCAGAGTGCGCCCTTTTACCTGTCTCAGTATGCGCCTGTTGCGCGGGACGTGGACATTGTAACAACAAGCTGCACAATTGTGGCCTCACCGTCCAGACATGTATGAGGCATGTCTTTAACCTCGCCCTGCTCAGATTTCCCTTCATCTGTAAAACGAATCCTTATAATTAGCACATCCTCGGCGCTGCTGCGTGAGGGTTAAAAAGTGACGCACGTGGTCAAGGGTATGCTCATAGCTCATCGCTGAAGATGATGTGTGACACTATGAGGACTAAGATGGCAATACTCCTAGGACTCATTTCGTTCTGAAAATGGAACCGTAGAGTTCAGCGACGACGGAACCGGTCTCTTTATCCTTGCACGTCACGGCTCTCCTTCGCTGTTGCTCGCTCACGTAAATTTCCTGGAATAAGTAATGGGGTGCTAATGCCCCTTGGTTATAAATATGCGTAACCTTCTCAATTGAAACTCCTGCACCGGTGGCTTCCAACTCAATGGCCTTGGCCCCTTCCTGAGAGGTTTTCTTTCGGGCATTTCCATTTCAGTTGTAAAACTTTTTTTTTTTTGTTTTTAAATTAGAGTGATATTTAATAAATAAAGGTAACCATTTCAAACTCTAAAACCATTAACATTCAGTGCATTCAAACGATTCCATAAGATGCTCACACATCAGGCCAATATGTACACCTTTCAAGACTCGAGTCCTCCACACGATGAAGCATGCCCTCAACAGTCACACCACCACACAAACACACCACAAATACTAGCCTACTACCAGTCCCGAATCTGCTTTCTGTCTCCGAATTTGTCCATTCTGGATCTTTCCTATAATAGATCACACGATCGTGAAGCTTTAGGTCTACGTTCTTAATCAAGCGTTGAATGTTTCAGAGCTGTCCCATGTGGATCGTGTGGCACTGGTACTTCACTCCTTTTATGTGCTAGAGTAATAATGCCAACCAGTAGTGGAACGTGCACGTCTGTTTCTATACATCTCTGCCTGCCGTGCGTTTGATGCTAGTTCCACCTTTTGCTATGCGAATGGTCTGCGTGAGCATACACGCAGTATCAGATATTTGATGATGAGTAACATGATTTCCGTTTCTTTGGGGTAATTCATAGGGAGTGGATTGCTGAGTCACACGGTCAAATATCTGTAAATTTAAAACATTTTGCACTTCTAGATACATTAGGCTTGAGTGTAACTTTTTCTTTTTTGTTTAAAGGAAAGAAGTAAGAAAAGAAGGAAGAGCATAGTACGATACCATACCAGTCTGTTGCTCTGCAGACCCCACTGGCCTCCAGGGCCATCACTCTGCAGAGGCCAAGGTCATAGGCAAGGGCAGGGGCATCTGGAGGATCCCACCATGTAAACCAAGCTTGGGCACATCTCCATAAGGGATCACACAGAGGATGTGAAACATAGAAAACTGATAGGATTGTAGAGTTTACAGGTGATACCTAGGTCACAGAGAGTAAGTCCATCGTAAGTGATGTCGTCACAGAGTGGAGGTTTTGTTTTAAACCTCAAAACGTTTTAACCCTGGTGCTATGGGCCAGCAGCCCGCGTCTCCCCATCGTCCAGCTGTCCCTTCTGCCCTAGTGTGACGGAGCTTCGCCCACTGAGGTCCTCAGCAGCCCGGGAACCACAAGGTCCTTGGAGACGCCTTGCTCGCTGTCCTCGAGTCCTCCTCCCTGCTCAGCAGGGCCACAGCCAGCCCCCCTTGTCCACTGCCTGCCTTCATTCCAGACTCCAGACCTCCATCATTTAAAAAACTTTTTAATATTAAAATTCTCAAACTAAAGGAAAATTAAAAAATAGTAAAAAAACCAGTATACTCATCTATTTACTTTAGCTATTTCTATGCTGAATTTGCTCTATCAGGCCATGACCTGGTCCGATAAGCAATATTCTATTACGATGGCCTCTGTAGGGGGTGGCTGGCCCTTGGAGGGCCTTGGAGGTCCGCAAGCAACAGAGTGGGATCTCCTTCCCTTGTTCTTCTTTTCTTTTCTTTTTTCTTTTTCTTTTTTTAAAGTTACACTCAGCCAGATCAGAAGGGATAATTGTTTTAAAATCTTATAGATTAATTACATGTATCAGCAATCCACTCCCAGGAAATTACCCTAAAGGAAACTGAAATCAGGCACTCTGCACGGCAAGTACTAAATACATGTGTGTTCACACTGGTTTGCAGTACCAAAAGTTGGAACAAGCACAAATGTCCACGGCTTACTAAAACGCTTCTTTTTTCTGTGAAGTCATTGAAGGAATGCAGACATCATGATCTTCATTATAGAACCGCACAGTATACATCGTCTTCAGAACAAAGAAGTATTCTGTCCACCAGTGCCTGTTATGCTACTGTTTATACTCAGAAAAGGAAAAGAATTCCCTAGTATATCGTTCGTCCAGCCATATGAAAATTTCCTTAATTATCCCCAAACTGTGCTGTCGTGTATGTTTGAGTGGGAGCCAATCAAGGATCAGTGTATTGCATTTGGTTTTGTCTCTTTAATCTCTTTAATGTAAAATGACTCACGCCAATCCCCATTTATCCCATGATACTGACTTTTTGCAGAACTGACCAGTTTCTTGTAGAGCTATCTAGATATTCGTTTTGTTAAATATTTCCTTGTGGTGTCATCTGTAACTGTTGCTTTCTGTCGGGCTGTATTTCCTGGTACTGGAATAGGTTCAGAGATTTGATTAGACTTCAGGTTATAAATGCTTTGGCAAAGAATCTTTGATTGTATAAACTTCATGTTGCATCCTGTCAGGCGCCATACAAGGTCAAGGCACCTTATTAGTTCGTTCAATGTGAAGTGACTGGGTACACGTGAACACCACTCCCAGGGCGTCTACTGCTTATCAGTCAGTCTTAGATCGGGGAGGGTTTGCAAAAACACGGCAATTCTCTAAGCCGCCACCTCCTCCCACAGTGCAATGGCTGCTCCCTCCTGTTACAGGGTGCTTTCCCTCGTCAACCAGGAATGACGAGGGGTCATTCGAAGTGTCGGTAGATGTCCCAGTCTTTGCCTTTAATTAATGAATTCTTGGGTGGGAGTTAGTTCATGTGTTCTCGCTCTGATGGTGGCAACTGCGTTTTGAACTGCAGCTGGCTTCGTGGATTTTTTATTTATTCATGCTCTACAATCAATTACATAATTATTCTTTTTGACTGCCGAATTATGTCCCAAGATTTGGCCAGCGGGAGCACTTGCAAGCTGGCCTCCCCGGGTCTTTTGCATCTGGCAAGGACAAGCATTGTCCAGACTCCCTGGTATTCCCCTTCTCCCAAACCTCGAGGTATAGCTTATTCCCATAAGAATCCGATTCCTTTTAGTGCAGGATGGGTGTCTGAAACAAAAGATTGGGGGTGTAGTTGTGCTTCATTGTCGCGAGGGGGTGTCAGTGTTTCTAGCCCTTTCAGTGGATGGTAATCTGAGTTCATTCACATTGAACATTTTAATTAATTCTAACATATAGCTTTGCTCTTAATGTTTTTTATTTTTTTTTTAGAGAGACACGAGCCTTGCTCTGTCTGCCCCAGAACTGGAGTGTAGTGGTGCCATCAATAGCTCACTGCAAGTCCAAACTCCTGGGCTCCAAGCCTCACCCTCACCTTAGTATCTGGACTGTTACAGGTTGACCACACCCAGCTCCTACTTCTTTTATTTACTATCTTTTACCTCTTAGCACCGACAAATCTTGGTTCCTAAATTTAGGAAAATTAACTATATTACTTACTGCTTTATGACCATAATATATACTTCAATCCCAAAACCAGTATTTGCTACAGTAATAACCAGCCACTGAGGAAGTTTAAACTTTCTTCGCAGCTCGTTTTTCCCTTAGATTTACAATATCCTCGATCCTCCTGCCTCAGCCTCCCCAGTAGCTGGGACTACAGGCATGTGCCACCATGCCCTGCTAATTTTTTGTATATATATATTTTTAGTTGTCCAATTCATTTCTTTCTATATTTAGTAGAGACGGGGTCTGGCTCAGGCTGGTTTTGAACTCCTGACCTCAAGCAATCCGCCTGCCTCGGCCTCCCAGAGTGCTAGGATTACAGGCGTGAGCCACCTCGCCCGGCCAGACTTAGGTGTCCTTTACCATAACGTGGCTCAAGGAAGGAAGACGAGATTAGAGGTGGTGCCAGCCTTGTTTGTCCACTTTTATCAGGAGAACAAAGCGTTTCTCAGACAGTCCCAGAGTCCTGGCAGAATTGTACTCAAATCTTACTGGCTCGAGCTGGGTCACGTGGCTGCCTCTCACTGCACCCCTTGGCTCAGAAACTGGGGACAAGATTATGATTGATTGACTTGGACTTGGGCACGGTGATCCCCCATCCTGAACAAAAGCACAGTTCCCTCAGCAGGCAAGTGGGGACCTGGGTATTGGGGAGACCAGGAGCGTCTGCCACATTCCTGTCCCTTTAAATTGTTTTCTTTAGGCGTCTCTCACTCCGCATTTACTGTGTCGCAGGCACTGGGCTAAGTGTTTATTTGCACTGAGATGATTATTTCCCTACTGGATTGGTGAGAGAGCTGAGTTTCAGGTCGTGGGGCAATTGTTCAATGTGGCCCAGCCTGGGCCTCGCCCCAGGCTGCGCTTCACTGCCTGCCGCCCCACCAGGGGCCAAGATGACCCGGTAGTCCCAACGGCATCCTCAGCTGTGCCTGTGCTTGTTAGTCTAACTCTCAAAGAACTGGGTCCCCTGGGATCCCCGCCTCTCTCTGCCACGCAGGAAATGGCCAGGCGGGGTGCACTGACAAACAGGTGGACAGCGAGAGGTCCCTGTGGGCCTGGCATGGGTGCCTGAACAAACCTGTACACCTGCAGGAGGTTGCTCTACCCAGACCCAGGGCTGGCGCCTCTGGTGTTGGCCCCACCTGCCCCTCTTGGTTATCAAATAGCAAAGGGCACGCCCCAGGAGGTAGGTGAGAACAATTAAGGTCCCTCCCTTCTCTCTTTCCAATCCCTTTCTCTCTATACCCAGAGGTATAATTATGTTAACAACATCAACACCAAGACACCATTGGTGGGCCGGGTGCAGTGGCTCAAGCCTGTAATCCCAGCACTCTGGGAGGCGGAGTTGGGCTGGTGTTTTGAGCTCAGGACTTTGAGACCAGCCAGAGCAAGAGTGAGACCCTGTCTCTACTAAAAAAGAAAGAAAGAAAGAAAGAAAGAAAGAAGAAAGGAAAGATGATAGGAAGGAAGGAAGTGAAGGGAAGAAGAGAAGGAAAGGAAGGGATGGATGTGGGGTGAATGGAAGGAGAAGGAGAGAGAGAGAGAGAGAGGAAAGAAGCGAGAGAAAAGAATTAGGCTGGACAACTAAAAAAATATATATAGAAGGAAAAAAGTTAGCGGGCATGGTGGCGACCATGCCTGTAGCGTAGATTCTCGGGAGGCTAAGGCGGAAGGATTGCTTGAGCCCAGGAGTTTGAGGTTGCTGTGAGCTAGGCTGATGCCACGGCACTCTAGCCTGGGCAACAGAGTGAGACTCTGTCTCAAAAAAAAACAGACACTATTGGTGAAGCTCCCACTGTGGGCTCACTACCCTCCTATACCAGTGACATGGTGAGTGACATGTGTCCATTTAAAGCTTGCAGCCAGGAGGGGTTGGTTGCAGGGCTGCCTGACTTTCAAAACTTGTGCTGTGGCAGAGGTACTGGCTTCTTCTGGAGCTAGGTTTGATCTCACTTACACCAACCCTCGCTCCCCGCCCCCCATGCCTTTAAACTCCAAGTGAACACCTGATTACAGGTTGACTATTTGTTTTGCTGCTGTCCCCTCATCTCTACTCACGGCATCTTTTGCAAGTCCTGGACAGGATATTTAAGCACATCCACTTGTTGAAATTACGAACTAACACGCACTTACAAGAGAAATTAAAAACCCATCAAAGGAATAGTGAGTCCATTTATGACACTCACACTTAGCTTCTAATCTTGATCCATGTGTATATTTTTACTGAGTAGTGTACATACCTCTGGTTCTACTTGTTTTCCCCATGTTATTTTATATTTATTTCCATGTAATATAATTTTATCTATTATAATTTTTATAATTAAAAAAATCAATTTTATTTTTTAAAAAAATATTGTTTTATTAATATATTTCCACATCATGCATAATCCATTTCCCTCAGTTGCTTATTAATTTCCCCTCCCCCAAACCTATAGAGCAGTTGCAAAAAGGAAACAGTGGACTCCCATAGACCCTCATCCAGGGTCACTGATTATTGATTTTTGCTACATGCATTTGTCTTTAATCGGTTTGGTAGTATTTTATTGAGGCCCCAAGAGATGATTTGCTTAGACATACTCCTGGGGGTGCCCATTAATTTGTGTCCTTTGTGCGGTTTAATGCTGCCACTGTTCTGATCTTTGCTCCACATTCTTTTCTTTGCCCCCTCGCCTTGGGGGGTGATCTCCCTGGGGTCCGCTCCTCAGAGTGGAACGAGCAGATCAGAGAGTTCTGACATTGTCAGAGCTCACGCTGCCCAATTATTCCCCCAGACTGAACCCGTTTGCGGAGCAGCAGCAGTGGGGCGGCCGGGTTTCCTCATTTGCTGCCCCGTAGGTGTCTCGCTGCTTGAACTGCGGCCGCTGCTGTTGCCAGAGAGGAAGCTGATGAAACCAGGCGGGGCAGGGAGCCTTGCTGAGACCATGTGGGGCGGTGCACCTGCACCCTGGGCCACCGAGTGCCTTTTTGGGGCCCCAGTGTGGGCGGGTGCAAGGGGCTGTGTGGGGTCGCTGTGGCTGTGGAACCCCCTTTGAGGGCCAGCGGTGCAGCCAGCTGGCTTCTCTGGGCTCCTGGCTCCTGGGGATGGCCTGACTCCCCCTTTCTCTGTGGGTTTCCTTGGTGGGTCTGCAGTCACCCTTGCGTTCTGTCCCCACGCCCCCATGCCCTCTCTTGGCCTCCGCACTGCATTGGCAGCCTGTCCCTGCTCGTCCTGGGGGCAGGGCGGAACCGATGGAGAACTGAGCGCATGGTCAGCTCCTTAGAGGGGCTCGCTGTCCCCATGGGTAGTCTTCTGAAAATCTCTCTCTCTGGTTTTTCTACAGGCAAATGGCATCTTGGGCACCATGGCTCTTATCACCCCAACTTCCGTGGTAAGAATTCTTTTGGGGATTTGTTACCTGGGAAACAGAAAATAAAGACCTCTGTGTAGAAGGACTCCCTTAACAGTTAAGCCTGTCCCCGGGGGACAGCCCTAAGTTAGGACATCTTTGTTCACAAGGTTACATGGGTGCGTGTGGGGTGCTGGGCCCCCCCAGGCTCACAGCCCTGTTGTTGGCACCTTCCCTGGGCCCCTTCCTCGGTGCCCATCAGCCACATGGCTGCCCCATCGCTGACCGATCAGTTTCCATCTGTCTCCTAGGTCTTTACAGCTCAGGGAACATTCCCCGTCAGGGCCAGGCACGGCTAATCTGGGAAGACGTAAAAACTGCCTGGGGGGTTCACTGAGGCAGGAAACCAGGCTGTGGACCCAAACAGGAGATGCTGCCTCTTGGCCTCTTCCTGCAGCCTCTCGCTTCCTGCAATTTCTCACCCTCCGGCCTTGGGGAAGTAGGCCAAGATCAAGCTGCCAAAGCCAATTCTCTGAAAATCAGTTTGCTGAAAGATGGATTCTCCAAATGTCCAATCCACTGAATTATGGATGGTTTTTCAACGTTGCAGCTTATGGCACTGCTCCTTCCCTGACCTTTTCCGCTTCCTATGGGGGCCCGTGGACTTTCCCTTAAAAGCAGTTTACCGTGAGCCCAGCTCATGTGGCTTCTCCCCTGTCCCTGGCCCCACCTGGCTTCCCCTTCCTCTCCTGCCATTTTATAAGCAAACGGGCAGCCTTTTCTTTAAATGTGGCTCTCTGACTATTGTGCAGACTCCTCCCCTCCCCTGCCCCAATATCTCTCCCTATCTCCTCCAAAAAGAGCCACACTGCTCTGTCCTAGGCCTGGGGGAAGGTTTGCGTCTGAGGTTTTTGCAATTGGAGAATGACTCGGGAGAACTGAACTGCAGCCGGCCTGCAGCAGCCCCTCCACAGCAGCCCACCTCCCCTTTGTGCTCCTTCCTTCCCCCTTCTCCCTTGTGCCCCAGGTGGGCATCAGTGGCATCTCCCCTGTGTGCTTTTTAAAAAATGGTAGATGGGAGAAGCGAAGGCCTAGTTTTTCCATGAACTAAAAGTGACTCCGGAATTTATTTCCTCCTCTGTCTTCAGTTTTCTCACTTGACAAATGAGGGTTTGGGCCAGATCAGGGTGTTGGCACCTCGAGTGCATATTCCTAGAGTCTCGTGCTGGGGGATCCCGAGGCCGGGTCCTGTGCAGTGGGCAAGAAGTGGTGCCACGATGGACTCGTGGTGTCTGCCGTGGCCATGGGGAGTGAGCGCCTCCTATGTACCAGCTGTTCTTGGACCAGACAGTCCCCAAAAGCCTTGTGGCGTGGACACTTTGAGGTGTCTTGATGCTCACCTCCAAGTTCACTGCTATTTCCTCCTGCCCCCTGTACCCTCTCCATGCTGCCCTGTGCTGGTTCCCATTAGCCCCATGGCTGCCCTTTCAAACGTGCCCTGGATCATGCCAGACGCGGTCACACATTTCTTCTGCGCATCCTGCGTCCTCCTGCTGCCTCGGATTGTTCCTCAGATCAAGGCTCCTGTAAACACGGGACCTCTTTCTAAACCTGGGTCTGAGGATGCCGATGGTATAGACCAGGGGTTGGTATAGACCTGTGGGTCAAATCCAGTATATAGCCTGCTTTTGTAGATAAAGTTTTATTAGAAAACAGCATGTCACTTTGTGTCAATACCCCTGGGTGCTTTTTTTTTTTGAGACAGAGTCTCGTTTGTTTGCCAGCTAGAGTGAGTGCCGTGGCATCAGCCTAGCTCACAGCAACCTCAAACTCTGGCTCAAGCAATCCTCCGCCTCAGCCTCCCGAGTAGCTGTCTACAGGCATGCACCACCATGCCGGCTGATTTTTCTATCTATACTAGTGGCCAATTAATTTCTTTCTATTATTAGTAGAGACAGGGTCTTGCTCTTGCTCAGGCTGGTTTTGAACTCCTGACCTTGAGTAATCCGACCGCTCGCCTCCCAGAGTGCTAGGATTACAGGTGTGAGCCACCAAGCCCGGCTATCTCCGGGTGCTTTTGCATTACAGCAACATCGAGTAGCCTCAACAGAGACCATCTGGCCTGCAAAACCTGAAATATTTACTCTTTGGTCCTTTACAGAAAAAGTTTGATGCCTCTGGTCGAGACACATACTGATACCAAATGCAGTAACATTTCAGGGCTGTGTCATTGACCTGTGGCATATCCAAATCTGTTTGTACAAACCAGGCTAGCATGGAGGTAACAGAAAAGTTTTTTTCAGCACAACAAACATGTACTAGTCATGCTATATACACCCCAGATTGGGTTGACAAAGATCTAAAAGCCCAAGGAGTGCATCACTAATGGGGAAGACCTGTGTCACAGATGACACAGAAAGTTTCTAGTGACAGAGAGTCTATAGGCTGTAGGTCCCAGGAGTACGAATGGAATGGGGGTCACAGTGGGTGGGAAATTCTGTGGGAAACTTCACGCCAAAGCCGGGCTGGGAAGTACCAATGCAATTTCACCTGTGAGAGACACAGAGCAGGGAGTCCCAGGCAAAGCCACTGGGACCCCAAGATCCTCAGATCCTTCTCATTGGCTAACCTATCCATCTCTCATGGGTTAATCTGTATATCTTATTTTCCCTGCAGATGGAAAGTCTCTTGAGGGCAGAATTTGTTCTTTTATCCCTTAACGTATCATGCATGTCATAGGATTTCGCCAGATACTTACTAAACGTGTCCATAATTGCACTGAAGATGTTAGGTGTTCAATAATTCTCCCTGCTTCCTCCCAATCTGGGTTCGTGCTAATCACAAGATGTTTCGCAAATCTAGTTTTACAGCCAGAACCAGGCAAAGTGATTTTCTATGCATACTACAAAAGGATATTAATCAAATCCTCTTTTAATTACGTATTACATAGCACTGCAATATTAAGCCACGGGAAATTAAATTTTTGCCATGGGTGTAAGGAGGCAGGCACAGGAGCGTAGCCAAGTGGGAGTGCTAACCAGTTGCTTCTATTCCAGGTTTCGATTACTACTTTGGAATCCCATATAGCCACGACATGGGCTGCACTGATACCCCGGGCTACAACCACCCTCCTTGCCCAGTGTGTCCACAGGGTGACGGGCCACCAAGGTAATGCTGGGCAATGCATTTGCCGTGGGCTCCAATGCAAGGTCAAGTGCTAAGGCTGTGGTCTGTTAAGACAGCACATGAGAGAGAGCGAGTACATTCAGTCCAAATCGAAACCCATTATTTGCAAGGGGTGCAAGAAAACTTTCAGCAAAGGTGAGGTCTGCAAAATTTTTCCCCTGGAATTTTCCAGGATTATTTAGCTCAGCTGGGGGGCGCCTTGTACTGCCAAGGTCTCACACAGGGCGGGCGGAGGCCTCCCTCCTCCCTCTGCCTGCTGGCTTTGCTCCTGGTCCACTCACCTGGCCCAGACACTGGACATAAGGAGGGACAGAGAGAGAGAGAGGGAAAGTGCGCGAGGTTCCTTTTGAACTTCTCCCTCACCTCCGGACAAGAAAGCCAGCATTCTGACGTTGGAATGCCGTGCAGGCACTAAACAGGATGTTTTCAAAACATACTCCACGAAGTGGGAAAATGCTCGTGATGTAACAGTAAGTGAAAAAAGCAGGAAGCAAGTCATCAACAGTATAATATTAACTACCTCTGTATCCAGATCTTTGTAGCCCTCTCGAGAGAGACTCAAAAGAGAGATGCGAAAATGTCATCAAGGGCTCACTCTGGTTGTGGGACTGACGGTTTTCACTTTTTCTTTCTTGTTGTGTTTCCTAAATATTCTGCAGTGGGGATGCAATGCATTTACGATCAGAAAAAGAAGATAAGCCTTACTCAGGTTATAAAGTAGCACAAACCACAAAAGCTCCACTTGTTCAGACAGTGCGCTGTGGTTATTTCTAAGGCCGTAGGTGTCTGAGCCACTTGGGAACGGTGAGTCTCAGCTGACCCCTTAATAACACAATAGTTCATGTGATAGTGGCTGTTTATTGAGAGATTATTACATTCTAGGCACTCACTGCACCTATCTGTAATCCACATGGCCACTGTGTGACCCAGATATGTACCTGATTTTACAGGTAAGGAAGTTTATCTTACCCTGGTCACACTAGAACTGGTAAGAGGTAGGAATGGAGATTCCAGTCTGGTCTCTGAGTCCAGAGCCCATGCCCTTCATATCTTTGCTACTCAAAGTGTGTGGTCATTAGACCGGCATCATGGATATTCCCTGGGCACTTGTTACAAATGCAGAAATTCTTGAGCTGGGCACAATGTCTCACTCCTGTAATCCCAGCACTTTGGAAGGCCAAGGTGGGAGGATCACTTGAGCCCAGAAGTTTGGGATTAGTCTGGGCAACATAGTGAGACTCTGTCTCTTTGAAAAATAATTAAAAAAAAAAAAATTAGCCAGGTGTGGTGGTGCGGTCTGTAGTTCCAGTTACTCAGGAGGCTGAGGCAGGAGGATGGCTTGAGCCCAGGAGTTTGAGGCTGCAATGAGCTATGACTGCACCACTGCACTCCAGCCTGGACAACAGAGTGAAACCCCCATGTCTAAAAAAAAGTAAAAAGAAAAAGAAAAAGAAATGCAGAAATCCAGACCCTACCTTGAGGTCTGTATTTGAATAAGATGCCCAGTTGACTTGTATGCACATCATAGCATGAGAAGAGAGACTTTAGGGCAGGTGTCCTCAAACTACGGCCCCTGGGCCACATGCTGCCAGCCTAGGACATTTATCTGGCCGGCTGGGTGTTTTTGCCACCACTGCCTGTCATGCTTAGCAGCTGACTTGTCCTGGGTCCACAATGTGCACTCTCCAACGGTCTGAGGGACAGTGAACTGGCTAAAAAGTTTGAGGAGCCCTGCTTTAGGGCATCTCATTGCTTTCTTCACCTGCTGTGGCCTCGCCATCACACCTGCCATCACAGCTGGCCATATCCAGGTATAACATATGTCAGCCAGTCTCTTTTTAATCCATGTTAAAATTAAATAGAGCCGGACATGATGGCTCACGCCTGTAATCCTAGCACTCTGGGAGGCTGAAGCAGGAAGATTGCTCAAGGTCAGGAGTTCGAAACCAGCCTGAGTGAGACCCCGTCTCTACTAAAAATAGAAAGAAATTAATTGGCCAACTAATATATACAGAAAAAAAAAAGTAGCTGGGCATGGTGGCACATGCCTGTAGTCCCAGCCACTCGGGAGGCTGAGGCAGGAGGATTGCTTGAGCCCAGGAGTTTGAGGTTGCTGTGAGCTAGGCTAACGCCACAGCACTCACTCTAGCCTGGGCAACAAAGTGAGACTCTGTCTCAAAAAATAAAAAAAAAAATAAATAAATAAAATTAAATCGAAAATAAAGGGTTGGCTTTAAGTGAGATTGGAGTGGGGGAGAGAATGGAAATGATGGTGGAGTTGCAACTAAGGGAATCAAAAGCTGGAAAACTCAACACAACTATGGGATTAGCATTATCGTGCCCAGCGTGGTGATGACTCTCTTCCTCTTTTTAAAAACTTGTGGTCCTGGGCAATTATCTCCCCAGCCTGACCTTATCTCCTACATTCTATTAATATAATGGAGAGCGTGTGTGCGTGTGGATGTGATGGGGAGTTTTGATTTCTGCACAGGTTCTTCCCTGCAAGAGTAGGACAGTTTGTCTGCCTGAGGGGCCTCCCATCAGCTGCTCTCTCTGTTGCTCTCGGCTTCCCTCCCGGTTCTCTGTGGCAGCCAGGGCCAAGAGAGCTTGAGTTTTTACTGAATTCCTAGTGCACCCAGCAGTGTGCAACGCACTAACCATTTATCTCCTTGAGACCCTTGCTACCCCTGTGTGGGTATCCGTAGCAAGCCCGTGCTACAGAGAAGGAAACTCAAGCTCTGGGAGCTTAGGAAACTTGCCTGAGATCGTGACCAGAGTAACCGCCCAGCCACTTCGCTGGGGCAGCCATGGGTCAGGTTCATTTCCATCTGTAAGATCAAAGGCTCAGTTTGTTTTTTCCAGAAGATATTGGTTTAACTCTCATTTTTTCTCCCCAACCCCTAAAGTTCCTTTAAATTCTCCAAACATGGCTGAAAATTAAAATTGTTCCAGGCCATCTTATATATTCTGTCCTACCTAGTGTCGGACTTGGTGTCACACGAAGCCCTGATCGGTGACTTGGGAAAATGCCAAGCGTTGCACACCATCCACAGAGTCCATCATTTATTTAGGTTGGACGGTGGAGAAAGCCGGCAGTGATCGTCTACGGGATTCTGCTTGAAATGATGTAGCCTGTTTAGGCCTCAGTTTCTCTCCCTGAAAAATGGGAGTAATAATGTCCCCAGCTCGCAAGAGTCTTTGTGAGCTTTACAGAGTGGCCAGCTTGTCCAAGAAGCATGGACATCTATTTAAAGGGAATGGAAGAAAGCATTATATGTTGGTTTTACACTTGGAGGAAATGGCTGCTGGCGAAATCACTTGGGGCCCGGCTGTTAAGTGTTTTATATTTACGTGCATTGTTGCATTGAAACGTTCTGTTCTACTCCATGACTTCTCAGGTTGTGGGAATGAATAACCTTACTGTCTACACCCAGGAACCCCGAAAGAGACTGTTACACGGACGTGGCCCTTCCCCTCTATGAAAACCTCAACATCGTGGAGCAGCCGGTGAACCTGAACAACCTTGCACGGAAGTATGCTGAGAAAGCAACCCAGTTTATCCAGCATGCCAGGTGAGGAGTCCCCCCACCCTGCCCCGGGGCCGCCCCTGCTCCCACCCATCCGTGCACACGCACCAGGTCCCTTGACCTCATTACTCACAAGGCCACGGCAGAGCTCTGTGGCTCAGCAAGAGGGACACGTGCATGTGTCCTGTAAGTAAAACTGGAAAACAACTCTCTCTGGAAACTCCCATCTGGGGTTAGGAGTTCCTCAAGGGTATCCCCAGAATTCCTGGGGGCTTACCCATCTGCTGCTTTGATCATGTTCCACTGTCATTATCGTTTTGTCCTCTCCTACTGGGGCATAAGCTCCTCAAGGGTCGTTCCTGCCCACTGTGTTCTGGGCGCTCAAGGCATTCTGTTGAATTCATTAGTTGACAGGGTGTAAGAGTGTCCTAATTGCTGCTCTACCCACCAGCCACCGATTTAGAGGCTAAAACAACAGTGACTTATTCTCCTGCAGACCTGGAGGCCAGATGTCTGAAACGAGTCTTAAGGGGCTAAAATCAAGGTGTTGGAAGGGCTGTTTCCTTTTGGAGTCTCTAAGGGAGAAGCAGCTTCCAGTGGCTGCTGGGAGGTTTAGAGGTTTACAGCCACATCATTCTAATCTCCACCTCTATTGTTCCCTTGCCGCTTCCTCTTGTGTAGTTAAATCTCCCTCTGTCTCTCTCTTATAAGAACATTTGTGATTGCATTTAGGAGAATCCAAGATAATCTCCCTATCTCAAGATCCTTAACATAATTCCTTCTGCAAAGTCCCTTTTGTCACATAAAGTAGCATTCAGGGATTCCAGGAATTAGATCCTTTGCGGGCTATTATTCAGTCTGCTGAGGTTACAAATGACAATATCTACGGGGCCCAGACAGGTAACCTGAAAGAGGGAAGCAGGCTGAGTGTAAGGCATCAGGGAGTGGCGGGGCCTGCGGTGAATTTGTAAGCACGTGCTGCAACTAAAGGGGCAGCCGCTACCCAGCCCCGGCTGCTTGTTGCTTCTTTGTGGAAATGTGAGCCCGGAATGTCAGATCTGACCATTTTACAAGAGAGACAGGATACCTGGCTTTTATGTGAGATCTCCTGATCTTTAAATGTTTTAAACTATGATACTAGTAAAATAACAAAAAAGCAAAAGGAGAAGCAAACCACAGTGTGTCTCGAACAAATCGTGTGTGTGTGTGTGTGTGTATGTGTGTGTGTGTGTGTGTGTGTGTGTGTGTGTGTGTGTGTGAGGGCTGCTGGTTTGCAGCCTCTGCCGGGTCTCAGGGCAAAGAGTGGACGTTGTGAAACAGTGGACAACTCCCAGATTGTGCACGCTCATCTGGGGGGCACATGCATAGACCGAGGGGTGCAAGAGCACATGCATACATGCACCCACAGCCACCGCCCAGGACTTGCCCTGACACTCCCTGAGTGCCCTGCTGCTGCTCTCTAATGACCCCACAGAGCCATTGTCTTTTTCCCAAGATTGTAAATGCCTCAAGTTCAATGGCATAGTTTCCAATAGGTCCCTTGGTATTGTTCATAGCCTTAGCCCAAGTAGACAGGAAGAAATGTCCTGCACGGCTGTCCACTTGCACAGAATTAAAAGGGGACCCCCCCTGTGGGTAAGTGATCACACCAGCCCCTGGAACGTGCACTCCTTGCTCACCTACGTCAAATTTTCACGAGACGTCAGCAGGTCAGGGTAAAGGCAGCAATGGAGGATATGCAGGCATCGTGTTTTCTGGATAATAAAACCTAGGTAAGACCTTAATCTCAGAAGCAGCCCCGAGGGCTTCAGAGAATGCGTCTTCAGGATTTGTTAGGACTTTCTGAGGAACCCTGTTGTTTTATTTCAGATTGTTGATATAAAAAGGGCAAAACCTTTTCTCCCATCTGGAGAGCGGAGCATCTCCCGGGAGCTTTGAGATGGTTTCAGGCCCCTGTGCCCCGTGGCAGGTGGATGCTTTATGGCTGGCGGGGACAGTCCCACCTACTTTCGCAGTGGCTGAAACCACACCGTGTTCTGAGAGGGAGGGAAGGTGACAAGCTGGGGACTGGGGGCTGTTCAGTGCCTTCTTTGAAGCGGGCGTGGGGCCTGGACTTCCACCAGTTAATTAATCAGTTAACAGATGAATCAACTAATGGTCTCCTTGTCATACAAAAAGGGCAAAGACTTTGCTAATTTATTAATTAGTTATTAAACGCAAAGTCACATGAGTCCCGTTGGCGTTTAACTGCACAGAGGGTAATCCGCAGGCATGCTGATCTCTTTAGGGTTGACGTGCCAAGTCATGCATGGTTTTCTGAGCATCAGCCAAGGCCCCCAGCCCTGTGCTCCGTCCTCCTGCATGACTTCTGCCCCCTCCTCGAGGCCCGTCCCCCACTTGGACCTGTTTATCAAAACTACCAGGTGTCTGTAGCGTGTGGCTTCCTGCTCCTCCCTGGCAAAGAGCCCGCCCCAGGGCTTCTCTGCATGCTTTCACTTAGATCTTTCCTTGAGTTTAGATTTAGACTCCTCCAGCCGTACACCTCCCTCCCCTTTTTTTTTTTTTTTGTTTGAGACAGAGCCTCACTCTGTTGCCCAGGCTGGAGTGCAGTGGCATCATCACAGCAACCTGGAACTCCTGCCTCAGCGTCCTGAGTACCCGGGACTACTGGCATGCACTGCAACTCTGGCTAATTTTAAAATTTTTTGTAGAGACAAGGTCTTGCTATGTTCAGCTCAGGCTGGTCTCAAACTCCTAGCCTCAAGCAATCCTCCCACCTTGGTCTCCCAAAGTGCTGGGATTACACGTGTGAGCCACCACACCCTGCCTGAGTTAAGACCCTTAATCTAGCATCAGTGCTGAAAGCTGATCCTTGATTTGGGTTTTTAAAGCAGCAAACAGAACTCTGAGCAGGAAAAAAAAGGTGCGAGTAGACGGCGTGGGTTCCCGGGTCCCAGAGCTGGCCCGGCCTCTGCTCCTTGCAGGGTGTGGGGACTGTGCATCGCACGTGGGAGAATTCAGGGTCTGGCAAGCACACATGGATCGGGTAGGTGGCGATTTCAAGATATTTAAAATCAGAGCCCTTTGGAAAACCAAGTATTCCAGGGTGTTAACGGACTGCACGTTTGTGTCTTCCCAAAACTAATGTTGAAACTCTAACTCCTCATGGGTTGGTATTAGGAGGTGCCTTTTGGAGGTAACTGGGTGTAGATGAGGTCGTGAGGGAGGGCTGAGCCTCCAAGGTGGGATTAGCGTCCTGATAAACACAGAAACTTCCTTTACTCTCAGCCGCGCGAGGACGCAGTGAGAAACTGCTGTCTACAAGCCAGAATCAAGCCCCTCCCTGATCGTGGGCGTCCCAGCCTCCAGAACTGGGAGAAATCAATGTCTGTTGTTTAAGCCACCTAGGCCGTGGCATATTCATTAAAGCAGCCTGAGCACACTAAGGTCCTGGGCATTCATCGCTCAGAACTCGGTCCTAGAGGCGCAGAGATGGAAACAAGCCCAGGACCTGCAGAACTCCCTCTCGTCCTTGACTCGCTGCCCCCTCATTGTCATCCCCTGCTGCTCTTAGTGCTCCCACTGGGTGCTGCCTCCTCCTCCTCCTCCCTCTCACCCAGTCCCCACCTGACACCCACCTCCTACCCGCTTCAGGGATCCAGGCTCAGCTCGAAGACCATAATCCCATAATCGCTTCGACCGCTGCTTTCTTCTATTTGAGCGCTGGGATGAAATTGGACGAGTAAATGAATGAAGGAGTGACTAGCTGAGCAATTGTATCTAACATCTTCCTGGTGCTGTGCTCTCTGCCTTGAGTGGCCACCACGCACGGCCCACCTGCAGCCACTGGCCCTTCGGGTCCCACTTTCTCAGGGATCTCCCCCTCCCCCCACCCACCTGGTTCCCTGCTGCACCTGCCACAGCGCCGTGTGCTTCTCCCCGTCGCTCCTGCAGGGTGCGTAGCCCTCATCCGAAACGCTCGGGACCAGGAGTGTTTCAGATTTTGGACTTTTACGGATCTTGGAACATTTACATGATGCTTACCAGTTGAACATCCCACGTACAAAAATCCAAAATCATTGGATTTGGATTTTCCAAAATCCAAAATGCTTGCATGAGCACTTCTTTTGAGTGCAATGTCAGTGCTCAAAAAGTTTTGGATTTGGGAGCATTTGGGATTTTGGATTTTCAGATGTGGGATATTCAACCTGTACTAAAATTGTAAATAATCAGCTAATTTACTTTTTAGGTGCATTTTTCTCTCTCCCATTCCCACTTAGACATTAAGCTCCAAGATGGTGAGGATCATCTATAGTGCTTATCCCTCTGTCCCCAGTGCGTGGGGCCTTGCTAGAGCATAATGACTGAGTTACTTTACCCAGCCCCAGGGATGTGCCAGTGTTGTGCTGGGGATACACACGTGAATCAGACGTGTCCCTGCCTTTGAGGGACTCCCACGCTCCTGGGGAAACAGGTATATAAAGACCTGGCTGTAATGCAGGTTGTTTGCATCTTATCAACGCTGTAAGGAAAAAGGGAAAAAAGGCTATGATTGGGGGGAGGTGAAGGCAGAGGGGAGGGAGCCAGCTATGACCTGGGAGCAAAGGAGGAGTATTGGTGGCTTTTGAGTTGGATCTTAGGAATTGATTAGGGAGGGCGCTACTGAGCGAGGCTCGTGGGGCGCTGGCAGAGCCTTTGGGGGGAAGGAGGGGAAGGCTGGAAGGGACCCAGATGGAGAAGGCTGGATGCAGAGTTTGGACTGACCCCCAGGCTGCAACAAGCCCCAGAAGGTTTCCAGACAGGGCAGCGTCAGATCAAGTCTGGGTCTGGGAAGGGTGTCTGTGAGTTCAAGGGCCTGAGGGAGACGGCAAAATGTGTGGGTGGGGTCAAGCGGCTATGGCAGCAGGCCATTGCAGAGAGACCCCTTGTCCACCCCTCCCCAGGGAGCCCCCACGGGTGCCCGCTCCGCCCTGGCTGAGGGAAGCCCTGCCTTCCCCCCAAGCCTGCCTCTCTCTGATCGGCGCCATCTGGGGACCCTTCCCGAGGGGTGGGTGCCCCTCGCCTGCCGGTTCCCATTTCAGAGCAGACGATCTCCTCCAGGAGTGGCTGTCCCTGCGTCATGATCTTCAGTGCAGCTCCCCCCTGTCCCCTCCAACCTCTCTCTCCAGGAATGCCCCTTCCGCCATCTTACTTGTTTCCTTTCTTCTCTGCTCACCCATCCACTTGTTTTGCCACACAAATAATGAGTGTTCTCCTTAGAAATCTCTGAAAGCAGATATACACAAACAGAAAAAAAGTCATCCTGAATTCCACACCCCAGAGATAGCCCCTTTTAATAGACCTGAGTATGTTCTTCTGGCCCCATTCTATGCTGGTACATAAGCCTATTTTTCCCCAGTTTTATTAAGGTATAATTGAAATTAACATGTTTTTTAAACAAAAGTGGAATCATATTGTCTTATGATCAGCTTTTTTTTTTTCCCTTGAAAGCTCGGGGTCTCCCTTATATATTTCCGCTCAGCACAGGTGCATAATGAAGAGGTGGCTTGAGGGACAGATGCCCCCGGTTACTAGTCTGTGTGGGTTCTGCGTGATGCCTTCTCTATGAATTCTAGCCTGTCACTGGGATGCAGGGACAGAGGTACATCCTTGGGTACCATTTATCCTCACTACGGCTAGCATGGTATCATTCAAAATGATTAATAAAAAAGCTATCGTCTATTAAATGCTTGCTATGGGCAGTTAATAATTACAACCACCTTGGCAGGGAGGTATGATTGTCACTGTTTTATAGATGACAGTGGTTAAGTTAATTGCCCAGGGTTATATAGCCATGAATTAAAAAATCCTGGAATTGGGATACAAGTCCTGCGAGCCTGCGCTTTTATTGGTGTGCTCTTGCTGTCTCTCGTCAGCACACACTGCTTTGGGTGCTAATGTGACTTTGATAATGAGGAGGAGTTTGGAGGACGATGCTGGGCTGGTAACAAAGGGTGGGCTGTGGGACCACCCCTGGCCCGTATGTAGCGATGAGCTGGTAAATCTTTAACAACCAGGTCTCAGAGAAAACAGCCCCACTGTGTAGCATTTGCCAATTCCTGTGGTGTAAATACTGTCACCGTGGCTGATGTCAAACTAATGAGGGGACGTCACCAAGCATTTGGAATGTGGCTAGACAAGGAACTTATTTGTTTATTTATTTATTTTAGAGGTGGGGCCTCACTGTGTTGTCCAGGCTGGTCTCAAACTCCTGGGCTCAAGTGATCCTCTCGCCCCAGCCTTCTGCGTAGCTGTGACTACAGGTGTGCTCCCCGGAGCCCAACTGAGACACTGGATTTACGAGTGTGTATGTTTGTGTATTTTATTGTAGGTGTGTATATATATCATAAAAATTTCCATCTTAACTATTTTAAGTGCACAGTTCTGTGGCAATAAGTATTCACATTGTGAATATATTCACATTGTTTTGCAACCGTTACCACCATCCATCTGTAGAACTTTTTCTTCTTCCCTATCTGAAACTCTACTCTGTCCCCATTAAACACTAACTCCCCGATCACTCTTCCCTGCTGCACCCCCCGTCCCCAGCCACCCACTGTTCCACCTTCTGTCCCTGCATTTGGCTGCTCTAGGTACCTCCTGCAAGTGGAACCACACAGTGTCTGTCCTTGGTGACTGGCTTCTTTCACTTAGCATAATGTCCTCAGGGATCGTCCATGCGGCAGCATGTGGGACATGGAATGTTAAATTTGATTTAATTTTCGTTAATTTAAATCTAAAGAGCCACACGTGACTTGTGGCTACCACACTGGACAACTCAACTCTAGAAATGTTGCCAAGAAACTGTTGGTTAAAATGGGGGAGGCAGAGGTCCCCGTCTTGGGACCTGTGTTCTGGATCTCACGCCTGTCAGAGGGAGCCGCGGGCAGGCACCGGCCCACTCGGTACACCTGGGAGACTGGACGGGGGGTCTCTCCAGGGTGGGCCGGATGCAGAACTGAGGCTGTAGGTGCTGTCACCCAGGCTGAGCTAAGGAGGACCCTGGGGCCAATCTGAAAGTGGCAGCTCTGGTGACATGGTTAGAGCCACTCTCTCTACATACGTGACTAAGCTTGCCCGCTACACTCTACATCCTCTGAAAGACCCCCTCCCATGGGTGTGGCCTGGGGGAGGGGCCTGCTGTTGCTATGGTTCTACTGCCCCCCTTGAATGGCACTGGGACAGACGTAGAGCTTTGTTGGTTTTTTTTTTTGAGACAGAGTCTCACTCTGTTGCCCCGGCTAGAGAGCCATGGCATCAGACTAACTCACAGCAAACTCAAACTTCTGGGCTCAAGCAGTCCTGCTGCCTCAGCCTCCCAAGGACTACAGGCATGTGCCACTATGACCGACTAATTTTTTCTATATATTTTTAGTTGGCCAATTAATGTCTTTATATTTATAGTAGAGACGGGATCTCGCTCTTGCTCAGGCTGGTCTCGAACGCCTGAGCTCAAACAATCCACCTGCCTCGGCCTCGGCAGAGTGCTAGGATTACAGACATGAGCCACAGTGCCCGGCCGACATGGAGCTTTTTGAGTGGTAACAGAGGCCACCCGGCTCCCTCCAAGCCTTTCATTCCGCACTTTCTAGAAGAATCAGGATCAGTATGGAGGCAGCAGGGCACCTGGGCCTCTGGCAGACCCTTGAGCTGGGTGTGACCTGGTGGTCATGTGTGTTCTTGGAATTCCCTGTGGTCAACTTGAGCCAACCAGTCATCTCTTAGAAAGGGATGAGGCTGGCAGTGGACATGATGGTCTAGCTGCTGCAAAACAGCAGATAAAATTAAAAAATATGTGTGCCTTAGACTGTGGAGTGAACCAGTTAAGAGCAAGGGCTTTGCTTTCAGCCACATCTGAGTTCAAATCCAGATTCTGACACTTATGCTAATCGCACAACCTGGGGCAAGTCCTTTAATCCTGAAGCTTCTGATCTTTCATCTGAAAAAGGAAACTTGGGGGGTTACCATGAAGATAAACATAGACAACGTGAGTCCCATATAACAAGCTCTCGGCAAATGGTAAGGGACAGTAACCACACTACAATGATTCTTATTTTTTAGTGGCTAACCAGATTGTTTCCACATCTCCTTGGATGGCCGTAGATGAATGTGTCCCTCCTGAGCCCACGGGGCAGAAGGGGGACTGGGGATTTTCCCCAAGGTGAGGGAGGATCACAGAGGTGCAGGACAAGCCAGGAGGGCCTTCTGCAGAGTCACCTCTTGGCTTTCCCGTTTCAGTGCCAGCGGAAGACCCTTCCTGCTCTATGTGGCCCTGGCCCACATGCACGTGCCCTTATCTGTGACCCAGATCCCAGCAGCCCCAGGGGGCCGCAGGCTGTATGGTGCAGGTCTCCAGGAGATGGACAGCTTGGTGGGCCAGATCAAGGACAAAGTTGACCGCACAGCAAAAGAAAACACATTCCTCTGGTTTACAGGTAAAGTAGTAAAAACCTGCCAGCCTCACTGTGGTCTAATGGATAACCCTGCACAAACGCCCCCCAAAGAGCAGAGTCTGGCTAAGTAATCCTCTTTCACAGGGGAGGGGGCTCGCTTTGAACTTGGGACCCTGATAATGTTTGTTGGCTTGAATGCTGAGCACGCGTCCATGGGAGCCTCCGAGACTGAGTCCCTGGGAAGGTTTGCACGGGCAGAGCGGGCCCCTTGCTGGCCTCTTGTGTACTGATGAGGGCTATCTGGGTATTGCTCCCAATTGCTAATGAGCGACTTTGACATTGTGAACCTGTGTAGTCCTCGTGCAGTTCTGAGATTTCCCTCTTCACCACCATCCATGGTCCCAAAGACTCTAGTTGCCACCGGTCACCGGGTCACATCTTTTGGCTGAGTGGCCTTAGTGAGCTGAACTGGTGACACCTTGAAAGGGCCCACACATGCACTACATGTCCCAGGTCCCCGTCTGGAGCCAGGGCAATGGCTAAAAGCACTGCTTTCAAGTCAAGTAAAGACCTGGGTTAGAATCTATACTCTACCTTAATCCCTCCAAGCTTCCATTTCCTCATCTGCAATTTTGAGCTAATAATGGAATCTACTCCATAGCATGGAGGATTATGGGATGGTGTGTGTGAAGCACTGGGTGCATAACGGGTGCTCAATAAACAGTTGCTGGGCTGACGCCGATGACCCTGGTAATGGGACTGCTGAAACTATGTAAAAGGCGAAGGAACAGAGGGCAAGAGGCTCCTGGCAGGGATGGACTGGGTACACTGGAGCAGGAAAAGCCACCCCTCTCTGACAGCCCAGTAGAGACAGGCCCCCTAGCAAGGGTAGTTCTGCAAGGCTGGGGATCATATTTGTTTCTACAATCCCCTTTTTCTGTCTAGCGTTGACCTGTTGTGCTGTTTTTGGTTTCTAGGAGACAATGGTCCTTGGGCTCAGAAGTGTGAGCTGGCGGGCAGTGTGGGGCCCTTCATTGGATCCTGGCAAACTCGTCAAGGTAGGGGCCTCCGCTGGGGCTGGGGCATCTGCCTCTGGGAGGGCCAACGTGCACCTGGACCTCAGGGGCATCATTGTAAAACAGGGACACGGTTGCCCACCAGCGTCTGTCGTGGAGAGAAAGTATCTGCCTAGCCTGGACCACCCTTTTCTCGCCTTTTCTACTAGTACTCCCCCAAAGCAACCATCCTTCTCCCAGCAAGCCAGTCCTTCCAGCAAATATCCTGCTCCCTTGCTCTTTATCCTTCCTTTCTTTTCTTTTCTTTTTTAAAGAATCTTCCATGTTAATTCATTTCATTCATTCAAGAAATACTTAGTATACAACTATGCAAGGATTTTATATGCATTGCCTGTCAGGCTTACATTAGTGACAGGTAGGCAGTAGTAGCACCACTTACAGGTGAAGAGAGAGAGAGGCTCAGAGAGGTTAAGCAACTTGCCCAAGGTCACACAGTTTGTGGGGATGGAGCCAGGCTTGCCACCGAAGTTAAAGTTAGCGCTCTCACTGCACCGTACTGCCTCTCACAGCTGCCTCCGTCCCTATTTAAACATCCTTTGGCTTCCAGCTCAGCTCCCATCTGCTCTGGGAAAGCTTCCCCACAAGGACCTACTTTCTGAGAGAACAGCCGGGCTGGGGACAATTTGACATATGGAACAAAGGCTTGAAAAATATGTATGCCTTTTGATGCATCAATTCCTTCCGTACGAATTTGTCTTAAGGAAATAATTAGCTAAGTGTACAATGTTGTATATAAAAGAATGCTCATTGCAGTAGGTTTTTTTAATAGTCGGATATAACCTAAGTGTCCAGCAGGGAGAGGAGAGCTTAAGGAAATACGGTACATGGCGGGGGTGGGGGAACGGCAGACTGGAGGCAGCCTGGCAGCTCGCTGCTCCCAGGAGAGAAGTGAGAGGTGCAGGCAACTGCCTACTTACCAAGCAGCATTGCAAATTCACAGAGAAGCAACGCGGGACACTCAGTGTGGAAGAAAAGGTGACGGGGTGATCCATATAACACGATTAAAGAGTGCGAGGAGCACAATAGGAGAATGGAGCATCAAGCTCGCCCTGCTAGCGCAGTGCGGACTGAACTGCAAGACCCCCACCACCCCACAGACCTCTACCTGCTCAGACAGGGACATGCCTGGAGTCGTGCGGAGCCCACTAGACAACAGGCGCTGTGGGGGTCGGCTAATGGCTAAAGCCACCCTGAACTCTCGGGTGCACCACACCAGGCCTGCACCAGGCTGGGGAGGGAGAGGACGGACCTGTGGCTCCCCTGAGCTGTACCCTGGAATGTAAAGCCAGGCGCTTCGTTGCTAGAGCACAGTGGGACCTGGGCACAGGAACTGACCAGAGAGCAGCAGGCCCCGGTCTGAGAGCTGTTGGGTGACTGCTTTGGCGGGTTCTGGGTGAGGCGTGGAAAGCCGTGACCTCTGCATGTCTCACCTGGCATCTGCCGGACCTAGGCAGTTTGCTCGGCCCTGAATCTGCTCTGCAGGCTCCAGTCACCTCCTGCCTGCCTGGCCCTGACCCCTCCCTCCAAGTTGGGTCAGCCTGCCATCTACATGGCCCCAGCTTCTGGCTCAGAGCCCCTGCTCAGAGGCTTTGCTTCGAGCTCCACCCCAGTCCCAGCTAGGAGGCTCTTACACACGAGCACAGTGGGCTCTAAATTAAGAGGTTGCGGAGGCCGCTTTGGCAGGCTCCAAGAGGAGCACGGAGAGGCCCACGGTCCCTGGGCCACTGGAGCCAACAATAGCTTGCCTATCTTGGCATTAGCAGGACCCTGGCACCGGAGGCGCAGCCAGCTGCTTGCTCACCCCAACTCCGCCCTCTGGGCTGTGATTGCCTCCTGCCTACTAGGCCCCACCCCTGCCCTCCAGGTCAGATCACCTGCCATCCCTACAGCCCCACTTTTGACTCAGAGGCCTTGCTCAGAGGTTCTGCTCCGGGCTCCTTCCTAGTCCCAGCTCTGAGGCTCTAATGACAGAGCTTGAGGCTCCACCCCTGTACCCCAGAAATCTTGCCAACCCAGAGACACCATCCCCAAGTCTCCAGTGCTGCACCTGGACCTCAAGACCCCACTCCAGAGCCTTCACCACCAAACCAGGGCTGAAAGAACTGCTCCAAGGTCCAGGGACACCCCAGCCTCAAGCCGCCAACGTACTGCCACCTGCTTTGAGCCAGTTGCCCACAAACTGGGAACCCATGGCTGCCTTATCCAGCTGCTGCAGTTATCTCTGTGGGAGACCCTGGGTAAAGCAATCCCCACAACACCAGCCTGAGTAAAAAGAGTCTTGTTCAGCTCCCAACTTGAACATCCTACAACTATCTGGAGAGTTCCTAGGAAGGAACAGGAATCCTGCAAACCTATTTACCCAGAACTCAGAAAGGAGGATTCAGATAGGAAACCAGCCAAAGAACCCTAGCAACATGAAAGATCAAAATAGATAAACACCCGCAAGGGATCACAGAGGAGCTACAGCAGTGAACTCTAACTACAAGGAAATTGTTGAAATGACAGAAATGGAATTCAGAATATGGATGGCAAATTAGATAAACGGAATTGAAGAGAAAGTTGAAAACCAAAAAAGAAGCCCAAAAAATATTTCAAGAAATTAATGAAAAAATCATTAAAGAGAGTGACAAAATTAGGAAGGATATAATAGAACTTAAAGAAATGAAAGTGTCTTTCAGGGATTTTCAAAATGCAGCAGAAAGTTTCAGCAACAGATTAAATCAAGGTGAAGAAAGAATCTCAGAGCTTGAAGACAAGGCTGTTGAGCTAATGCAATCATTTAAAGAAGCAGAGAAGAGAACAACAAGGACAGAGCGATCACTTAGAGAGATGTGGGACTACGCAAAGCAAACAAACATGAATTACAGGTATCCCTGAGGGAGAAGAAAGTGCTAAAAGCATGGAAAATCTATTTGAGGGAATTATTGTGGAAAACTTCCCCAATATTTCCAGAGATCCAGACATGCAGATACAAGATGATCATTGAACTCCTGGAAGATCTGTAGCAAATAGAACATCTCCAAGACACATAGTATTCAACCTGGCCAAAGTCAAAGTGAAAGAGAAAATTCTACAAGTAGCTAGACATAAGTGACAACTGACCTGCAAGGGAAAATCCATCAGGATAATAGCAGACTTCTCAGTGGAAACCTTACAAGCCAAAAGGGAGTGGGACCCCATCTTCAATCTTCTTAAAACAAAACAACTGCCAGCCTAGAATTGGTATCCTACAAAAGTAAGTTTCATGTTTGATGGAGAAATTAAGACTTTTTCAGACAAGCAAACACTGAGGGACTTTGACAAGTCCAGACCTGCCCTGGAGGAAGTACTCAGACCTGCACTGTACATGGATCAACATGGCAGATGGCCACCAGTATAAAAACCCCCAAAAGCTAAAGATCAGAGCCCAGCCACCACAATGGCTCAATAGGTAAAACAGAGCAATAAAGTTCTACTCAACAGGAAGAACAGAAATCCACCCCCCTTATCAGTTCTTTCAATAAATGTGAATCGGTTGAACTCTCCACTCAAGAGACATAGGCTGGCTGAGTGGATTAAAAAACTACATGCCAAATATCTGCTGTCTCCAGAAAACACATCTAACTCAGAGGGACTTATTCAGACTCAAGGTGAAGGGATAGAAAACAATATTCCATGCAAATGGAAACCAAAAGAAAGCTGGTGTAGCAGTTCTCATATCACATAACATAGACTTCAAATCAACTAAAGTAAAGAAAGCCAAAGATGATCATTATATAATGGTCAAGGGAACAATTCAATAAGAAGACATAACAATTCTAAATATTTATGCACCTAACACAGGTGCACCCAGATTCATAAAGCAAATCCTACTTGGTAGGATAATAGCTGGTGACTTCAACACTCCTCTGACAGAACAAGACAGAGCCTCCAAACAGAAAATAAACAAAGAAACAATAGACCTAAACAAAACTCTAGAACAAATGGGCCTAATAGACATTTATACAACATTCTACCCTAAAACCACTGAATATACATTCTTCTCATCAGTTCATGGAACATTCTCTAGGATTGATCACATCCTAGGCCACAAAACATGTCTCAACAAATTTAAAAAACATAGAAGTTATACCAGGCATCTTCTCAGACCACAGTGGAACAAAATTAGAAATCAACTCCAACTGAAACACTCATCTCTACACAAAGTCATGGAAACTACACAGCCTACTACTGAATGATAGTCAAGTCAAGGAAGAAATTAAGATGGAAATCAAAAGATTTTTTTAACTAAATGATAAAGGAGACACATGTTATTGAAATCTGTGGGGTACAGATAAAGCAGTTCTGAGAAGAAAATTCATCACCCTAAATGCCTACATCCAAAACACAGAAAGATCACAAATCAGCAATCTAATGAATCATGTCAAGGAACTGAAAAAGGATGAGCAAACCAATCCCAAACTCAGCAGAAGAAAAGAAATAACCAAGATCAGAGAAGAACTAAATGAGATCTATAACAAAAGAACTATACAAAAGATTAACTGAAACAAAAAATTCGTTCCTTGAAAACATAAAATTTTGACAGGCCTCTTGCTGGATTAACCAAAAGCAGAAAAGAAAGTACTCTAATAAGTTCAATCAGGAATGAAAAAAGAGAAATTATAGCTGACACCATGGAAATATAAAATATCATCTCTGAATACTATAAAAATCTCTATACACATAAACTTGAAAATGTGGAGGAAATGGACAAATTCTTAGAAACACCCAGCATTACTAGGCTTAATCAGGAAGAAATAGAATTCCTTAACAGACCAATATCAAGTACTGAAATTGAAGCAGCAATAAAAAATCCCCCGCCCCCCGCCAAAATGTCCTGGACTAGATGGTTTCACACCCGAATTTTACCAGACCTACAAAGAAGAACTGGTACCTATCCTGCATAAATTATTCCATAACATCAAGAAAGAACAAATCCTCCCTGACACATTTCACAAAGCCAA